TTTTTTCCTTCTTTCCTCACTATCATACTCATCTCTGTCACGTGACTATTGTATTTCGTAGTGGTTGCTGCTGCGCCCCTCGTTGCTATGATCCTCCTAAATCCATGAGTCTGCGGCCAGGGGCAGTGCTGTTAGTTGAGAAACTACCGAAGGAAGGAAAGGAAAACAGAGAGAGAGAGAGAGAGGGAAAGAGAGGAGGAGAGGTTGGGAGCTGGCGGAGGAAGGGAGACAGGCTTACCAACTGAGAAGGCGACCCCAGCTGCAGGTTACTAGGAAGGGTCTGAGTGCGACCAAACATAGTGATATCTTGGCTGGACTCTGTCTGGGCCAGTTTAGTCATGCTAAACGGACAAGACCCCAGCCTGCTAGAATAGCTGCGTGAGGGCCTTGTCTACTAACTGGCTCTTCAAGGGGGCTGTCGGATGACTAACTAATAGAGATACAGTAATGGGGCGATAGACTGAGAATTCTGTCTCAGTTTTCTTTCAGAGAGCTGCTGGAAGTTGGGGTGCGATCTTTGTGCCTTGACTGGTTGCGGTGGTGACCAATATAAATTCAGGTTGTCGTGACTGCATGTCGTCGTGTTCAGGATTCGGACTGCAGCTGGTGACAGGCTGCATGACCATATAGTGTATTGCCGTCACATTCAAAAAATTGGAATGCACCTCGTAGCGGACTGAGCAATCACACGGTGTTAGTGCTGTGGTGTTCGAGATTCGGCTCGCTACTAGTGATAAATTGTGCCGCCGCCTACGACAGTGGGTGCTGAAGCGTGCGGAGAGCGACTGGAACCAGCGGCACGACTCCCTTGCTGTGTCCTGCCTAAGCTCGAACTGGTTGCCTGGCGGGGGGGGGGGGGGTCGCGCTCTGCGTCCCTCGTTAGAAAGCTGTGACACACGCAGGGCCATTCGCTTCAGACTTTGGACACCCACTGTGCATCTTGTTGTGCCCGTGCGACGTGTGCTGCTGTGCACTCTATGGAGTTGCTGACCTAGACCTCCGCTGTGTTTGCTGTGTATCGCTGTGGATTACCATGCCCTTGTTGACTGCACTACCAACCGCCTCTGGCAGGGTGTTTTGAAGTAGTCTGAGATGCTGTACGTCGCTGAATGTCAAACTATTACGAGTGCAGTTTTTTTTCTCTCTCTCTTGATCTGCTGCAACACTGGCTGCTTGTTTACGATATCATCAAGAGGAGCCCTCGTCCTTGTAACACCTGCTGCTGAGCCACGGTGGGTACGTGGGGTGCTGCATCACACTGGGCATCCAAGGGTACTCAGAAAGTGTTGCCGCTTCTATTCCACTAAGGCAGCCTTGAGACTGTGTCATTGCGGGGCCTCTGTGCTGTGACGCATCTGCAGCTGGACTATTAGTTAGGGACAAACGCTGAGCTGTCTATTAACTGCGGGATGCTACACGTGGGCTGGCCGC